TGAAATGCAGGGAGTTATTTTTCCCTCTCAAGTTATTAATTACGGACCACTGCTCCTTGGATTTGTTACCCGCTCTCTCTATTCGTTGATTATAGTATTTCTCTCTTAGCATGCTTAATTAATTGTCTATATGTACGTCTGTATCGGTTGAAGTAATTAACAAAAAATATATTATCCAGATGAAATTTTCGTGTGCAGGGATCTTAAATTTGTAGCAGAGATTTTTATACCTTTGCTAATCCAAGGTTCTGTTGTTTTTAACTTCAATTTTTTTAAAGGAAAACACCTATTAAGAACATGGCTCAATTTCACATGAAACGCTGGATCCCTAGATTTATGAGTGTCTTCCCAAGAGACTAACACACACTGTTCATGAAAACCTCTGAAATTTCTCGAACTAGATATTCTACCCATTCTCGACCCCTCACCACGCTGATGACCCAGACAGGGAAAACGAGCCACTATCGCCTCCGGCCTCATGATCGGAGGGTCCAGAAGGCAGCGTGACAAAGTCCAAGTCAAGATCAAAATTGGTGCAGATATAATCAATGAGAGTCGCTGACTGCAGAGTAATGCGTGTGGGTTCAGAAACATGCATTTTCAAATTAAAAGAATTAAAGACACTGCGTAGCGACTGAGTTGATGTTGAGTCATTATCATTTAAATTTATATTCAAATCGCCCGCCAATACTATTTTAGAATGTAATGGAAATTGCGACAAGAGGTACTCTAATCTGTTCAGAAAAGTCGTGACGTCAGAGCTTGGGGGTCTGTACAGGGTGGTCCAAATTGGACACTTTCTTATGGAAACACCCTTTATTTTGAGAGATAGAAAAAAATGGACCCCCCATTCTGAGGCTCAAATTTCATGAAATCTTGATTGGTGCAAAGCGCATTTTGATATCTTCAACCGTTTAGCCGCTAGAGGACGATTCTCGATTTTGAGCAATACTGTAAAGCCTCCATAACTTTTTTGTTTATGAAAATAATTCATTTCTGTAAAAACCTTTAGGAAGCACTTTTTCAAGCAGAATTCAGTGACGTTCTCAGTTTTTTTCTGTCTGGCTTCGATTCCGAGATATTGACCAAAAACCGATTTTTTTCAATAGGACACCCTATATATTAATAGTTCATTAGAAAGCTATACTTTCGCTGATTTCAATGATATAAAATTCGATAGGTTTATCTCTAACAGTTTTCGAGAAAAAAAATTATTTCGGTTTTTGTCATAAGAAACAATGTGTTGGAAAAGGACTTTATCTCTGTAAGGAAACTGAGAAAAGTCTCTTTCTAACACATTGTTTCTTATGACAAAGATCGAAATATTTTTTTCCTCGAAAACCGTTAGAGATAAACCTATCGAATCTTAGATCATTGAAATCAGCAAACGCAAAGCTTTCTAATGAGCTATTAATATATAGGGTGTCCTATTGAAAAAAATCGGATTTTGGTCAATATCTCGAAATCGAAGCCAAACAGAAAAAAACTGAGAACATCACTGAATTTTGCTTGAAAAAGTGCTTCCAAAAGGTCTTTACGGAAATGAATTATTTTCATAAACAAAAAAGTTATGGAGGCTTTACAGTATTGCTCAAAATCGAGAATCGCCCTCTAGCGGCTAAACAGTTGAAGATATCAAAATGCGGTTTGCACCAATCAAGATTTCATGAAATTTGGGCCCCAGAGTGGGGGGTCCATTTTTTTCTATCTCCAAAAATAAAGGGTGTTTCCATAAGAAAGTGTCCAATTTGAACCACCCTGTACAAGCATAAAATATATAAGTTGTAACCCTCCTCAAAAATGATCGAAAACTCAAACTCCCTCTCCACCAACAAATTCTCATACTTCACAACTGTGATCAAGGAAAGGTTTTTATAGGTCTTTTCGTTCACAAGAATCATAGTACCTCCGTGCGTTGAGTCTTTCCGACAAAACGATGAAATCACAACGTAGTTAGAAATGTATAAAGGTTCATCTGGCTTAAGCCAGTGTTCTGTTAGAGTTAGAAGAACCAAATCAGGCCCCTGATGATGCTCAAGCAACACACCAAGTTCATCAGCCTTGCATCTTATGGATTGAATATTTAAAAGAAATAAAGAGGAAGATGTGCCAGCATTCGTTGAATGTACTTTTAGGTTGGGTTTTGAAAAGACAGATTCTGGCCTAAAAAAGTATTTGAATTTGGAGCTTCTCCACTGGTTCCCGAGGCATGACCCTCCGTAGAGGTAGTTACATGAGAGCCCCCAGTGGCACTCTCATCCGTCCCCACCGAATTTATGCCCTGAGTCAGCTGTATCAAATTGCAAGTGTCAGAAGTACTCCTAAAACCAGTCAAAGTTCTTTTGATCACAGACGCCAACCTTAATAATCCTGATCTATTTAAAAAATAGTTATTTCTGCAATAGTGCCTAGCATATAACTTATTAGATAACTCAATTAGACCTATGGTGTTAGAGAACGTTCTTAAATTTGAAGCATATCTTCTCAAGTTATTATTCAGTTGCTCGACAACGAAAGACTGTCCTGAACCGTCACTCGAGCTCACCGTCACTCGACTTAGCGATAAGTATACCTAAAAATGACAGTTTTACATGTTAAAATGTCACTTTAAGGAATACTTATCGTTAAGCCTTCCTTAAAATGGTCGGTGCAAACGGCCCTGACAATTTTACATTGTATTGCCCACATAATGTCATTTTGACTTTTATCTTAAAAAAAAAATAGACTTTAAGTAAAATCGAATTTTCCATATGTTATCCTGAGTGTTATCCCCAGGAGCCACTCGTAAAAATACCTTCAACCTACTCAAAATCGATGTACTTTTCAACCCTCTTCGAGGCTTGCATGAGAAAATGGGGCACCTAAATATGTCACTATCTGACAGTCTATTTTCTGTTGAACATAGAATTTACTTTTCTACCATGGTATTTATTTATAAGATCTTGAACGGGTTGGCACCGGAATATTTCAACCAATATATAGTTTTAGTCCCCAGTACATCGACCTTAAAATTTTGTAAGTCATGTACACGCCAAACTTCCTGAGCGGCTTCATAACACCAAGTCGGACAACTTTGTTCATATCTGCAACCTGGACGATGGGACATTGTCGCGCTAGCTCTTCGTGAAGTTGTCATTTTGACGTCCCTGAGAACGGTGATACATGTACGTGTAGTTTTAGTTCCAATCGACTGTTTTGTATGTTATATTAACGATATCACATTTGTCGGACAAAAATCTTGTGGCATTGGGGGGGTCCGACGCTTCTAACAGCAACATGTTAAGGGCGTCGGACCCCCTCAATGCCACGAGATTTTTGTCCGACAAATGTGATATCGTTATTATAACATAAAAAATAGTCGATAGAGTTAAAACCACACATACATGTATTACCGTTCTCAAAGACGTCAGAATTACAATTACACGAAGAGCTAGCGCAACCATGTCCCATCGCCCAGGTTGCAGATATGAACAAAATTGTCCGACTTGTTGTTATGAAGCCGCTCAGGAAGTTTGGCGTGTACATGAGTTACAAAGTTTTAAGGTCGATGTACTGGGGACTATTTATAATAGAGACATTCATGAATACTCAACAAGAAATATCAATAATCTGCATATTTCAACAACCAATTATAGGAGTACAATGAATTGTCTCTTGTTTAAGGGATTCCAAGAATTTAATAGGCTTTCAAATAATGTAAAAGAATCTAATTCATTAGGGGTTTTCAGGCAGAGATTGAGAATATTTGTATTGAATCAATAATGTTCAATGTTAGGCAATATGTTTTAGAGAACAAGTAGTTATATATAAGTTAAATTTGAGTTGGGTATGTTATAAGTATTGGTTTTGGTGAATATCTTGGTGAATATATGGAATTTTGGTGTTTTGTGTAGGAGTGGGAATAATGTTTAAACAAATACTCTTGTACTTTTGGAAGTCAAGGAACAAATTTATATTGCATACATTTTTTTTTTTGTATATTAAGTAGGTTAACCTATTTAAATAAAGATATTTTCATTTTTCATCTAAATGATTACTTTAGCGCAACATTATAACTCAAAAAATGGCACAAGAGGGAGACTTCTGCTATAAAAATACCTCTAGTTGCAGAATACAAGGTGCCCACAATTCCCTGGGAAGGTCAAGCTCAACACAGAAATCTGTGAAGGTCTGAAATAAATGGGCTAGCAACAAAATTTCAAGGAAATCCTGTGGAAGCACTTAATGCAAAGCAAAGAGAGAGAAACGAAAATAAATATTACCAAAACTCTACATTTTTAGTCCTTTCCTTGATGTGTTTGGTCCTAGTCATGACTCAAAGGTTTGTGAGGACACACACAGTTATATAGTAGAGCAGCAACATTAATTTGATCTAGAAACAGAGCTACTAGATGCATTCGCATAATGAATGGTACATAGACCAGAGTGTGCTGACTGGAGAGAAGTCAACAAGGCAAAGGTCGAAAAGAAAAAATTAGAATTGCCATATCAAGGCAGTTCAACAAAGACACTTTATATTTTTGTATTCTTGGACAATAAAGCATATTTACTACTACTTATAGAAAGTTTTTTATGAAATAAAACAGACTCAATGGACTCAAATGCAAAGGAGGACACCAATTACTCTCTATGCAGCACTGTATAAAAAATTGCCCATATTTAAGGTTAGAATTTGCATAGAACTGAAATTATGTAATGGAAATTTTGGAAGTTAAAAATCTAGATACATACAATTAAATTTTGACAATAATTTGTATAGAAATTCATTAATTAACAAGAAAATCTAAAAATAATCAAAACTGATTACCTAACAGGAAAAGTAGGTACCTAATCTCGATATTTTAACTACATAAAAAACGCAATTAACAGCAGCTTTTCATGGGATTTCTTTTCATTGAATTATTATTAATTAATCACTTTACCTTATTATGTAATTTTAACTGGGAATACGCCACAAAAAAATGATCTTAAAACAAAAAGAATTGGTAAAAAATACCCACCTTTTGGTAACTAGATGTAAGCAGCAACGCAGCAACTCAAGAGGGCGACCGTGGAATACAGCGTTGCCAAATTGGTTACAGGTTGCTAACGAAGTAGCAACACGCTATCTGTCAAATGGATTTTTGATTTTTGACTTTTGTTTGACAACTTTGACCTTCGCAGTTTTTTTTTTTTTTATGACGTTTATGTAGAGGTTGTGTTTTTGTGTTGTGGTCTGTGGTCCTCTGCTGAGTGTTGAGTTATTTTAAGCTTAAATTTATTTTTGTTTTTGCTAATTCAACGGCGAATCGTCTTTTTTCAAATCTTCCAAAGGCTTTGTACTCAAGGTAATTATCCTTTAGATAAATATTTCGATTTTATTAACGCCTGGCGGCCGCCTCAATCCGAGTTTATTTATGGGATGCATATCCTTATCAGGAATTGACAAATACAAAAAAGCATTTAATTATTTATTTTATCATCGTCGAAGAATAGCGTCTAGAATACTTAATTAACTAAATAGCCTTTAAGTCGGAAGGAAGGAAAACGCGTTCGTTTTCTGCTAGTTTTCCTTGTACTCGGATTGACTTTAGCAAAAGCCAACAGTTTTATGTGGTAGTGGACTGGTCATTACAATTTTATTTATTATACATTTAAAAGTAGGTATTTTTAGTGTTCCTAGAAACGATCTACTTTAAAACTAGTATCGGGGCTATTCTTTGAAATTATTTTCGGTGTTAACTAAAAGTAAAAGTACGATTCAACATTTTAATTACAAAGGAAAAGAGTTTGTGGAACATGTCTTTGGCAAGTATATTTTTAGAATTGAAACAAGATTCTTTGGTTTTTGTTTTGGAATTTGGTGCGAGCTAAAGTGAGACATAAAAGAGCTGTTCGATTTAAAAGTTCTTCTACCTATACCTAAGTCAAGACCTAGGTATATTTTATACTTAGGTACTTCGACAAACATTCTAGTATTTTAAATCAATGTACCTACTTAAATGACAATATCCATTCATATCTTAGTTGTGTGGTGAAAAAATAAAGATAAACTAATTACAGTTTTACAGGCAAGTTCATTGTTTTACCAAAACGAAGGAATATTCTTATCTTCCTAGACATTACCTGAATTTTACAGTTATTAGCTCGGCTAATTTCAAAAAGCTTATCAGTATTCTTTCAATTTTGAACAAAGACAAGAATTTCAACTCAACTGAATCATTTCTAAGGTTCTTTGAACTGCCAGTTCTAGGGTTAGTTAGTACCTAGGAATATTTCACACTATAAGCTACAGTAAGTAGCATGTTTTATAAGATAATTTTTGTTAGAACTTGTTGATTTTTTATTTCTTCTGGTCTGTAGAACTAACAACGTCAACCCTCCATAAAACATCATTGTTTTAAGTGTTAATTCCTGCTCAATTTATAAAAAGGTGGAATCACTCATTACTCATTATTATATTTCTATATGCAGACCTAGGTTTTTTTTGTTTGTACGTTTTTATAAGTTGCATATTTGATAAATATGTAAAAATATCCGAATTATCCGAGCCACCATTTATCCAAACAGCCCATATTAGATCAGATAATTGAGACTTGAGAGTCTACTGTACTGTAATCAACTAGGATGGTGAAACAATGGAAATATTAATTAGTATATCACTAGATAGCCATCGAACCAAAAAATTTATAAATATTATCTACCTTTATCTTCCTCCTTTAGTACCTGCGTTTTATATGTATTAGTTCCCTAATTTGCTCAAGCTCAAATCAGCCTACTTTCAACACCAACAAAAAGGTATTTTGCTGCATTTACTTAACTGAAACTTTAAGAACTCAATCAATTGAATTTCTTTGATCTTCCCAGTTTTCAGGTAAGTAGCCCAGTCTTCACAAAATACAGGGTGTCCCAGCCGAGAGTGACCCATTTTAAATGCTTATAACTTTTAAACCAGGTGTGCTTGCTACCTGCGGTTTGCGCCATTCAAATTAAAAAAAATAGTAGATTATACCACGAGTCAATAATGATAGCTATTATTCCCGAGGATTATTACGAACTGAGCCGCGTTAGCGGCGAGGGAGTAACATTGCGAGTAGTATACTCTACTTTATTTATGACAAATTAATTTATTTGAGATTTTCGATGAACAAATTTCATCCGTCTCATAATTTTCAATACAAATCCACAAGCACTACACGTTTGACACTGACACTTTTGTGGAATAATGACCATTAATCCCGCTACTCGTCATTAATCCCTGGCCCCGTATTCTTGACTGCCCGGGAAGGGAGAGTTCCTGGGAACGTTCCCAGGAAAGCTAGTTCACTTTCGCTCCCGGGAGCTAAGAGGTCGTATTCTTGAATACCCACGAGCGCTCACAATGTTGCCGCCTATGAGAGTGTCAATCAAACTAACCAAAACGTGTTTCAAGCGAAAAAAGGAAGAGGAAGTTATCTAACTCAATATCTAACCCCACGTTTGATATTTATTATTGTCTATTTTTCAAAACTTTGAAAGCTGAAAGGCATTTGGCTTTGATAATATATTTATTTTTAACTACCCTATGAACATCATCGTTGTAAGTTCTCGATAACTGCATTCCTTTTATGAGATTTTTTATACATGAGGGAAATTTCCGCATAATTTTCTGCAGCATAAATTCCTTATTCCTGCTCCTGAACTTCATCTGGCTCATCAACTTCTGGAATACTGTGTTCAATGCATACCTACCTTTGTAGTTTTGGTTAAAGCCGAGACTCGCCTTGGAGCGGTAACATACGGGAGTAACCATATCCACTATTTCGTGGCATACATTTTTGCTCACTCTAAAAAATTTCACGAATTTCTGGCCAATGGAAAAGGCAGAACATCCCATCCTATTTCCTTTGCTTCTGAAGCATTTTTCATGTCTTCTTGGATTATGTTAGGTATGTTATTCAAGATAATCTCAATAAAATAATCCACATCCACATTCATTTTAATGAAAAGACACAACGCGTACAAAAACGAAAAAACCTTGAATTTGAAAGGAGAAAACGAAAACGTCAAGCTTGAAAACAACGTCAAGTCTTGAGGTTAGAGACCTTGACGGGAACTCGTTTTCTCTTGGGTGAGAGGATGGGAACTTCAGAATTCCCGGGAAATTTCATCTCACAGTCCCATTTTCAAGAATATTACATGTACCTTTTTGAGGTGAACCACGTCCACTTCCCGAGTAAGTTCTCCTCCCAGAAATTCAAGAATACGGCTCCTGGAGGAATAACATATGTCATTATACTGCCAAAATCACAAATATAATACGCAGATTATACATTAGTCGTAAATAAAATCCGTTTTTCAACATCGAACTTCTCCACTATTTTTAATTATCCATTATCCATTTTTTTTATCACAACATCGAAAAAAAGATACATGTTTAAGGTATCCATATACCAATAAAAATTGTCCCTAAAACTTGAAGTTTCAGCCATTGAAAATCGAAATCGAAATCTTGGTATTTTTGCAAACACATGCAACTTCATGTTGGAGGTACTTGATATCACTATGGCAAACAATTTTGTAACTGTCTTGTTAGATATCAATTAAGTTAAAATACTTTTTTCCTACGAGCGTGCGGAAAAGTTACTTTTCCGCACGATTTTTAGTTTTGAAAGTTGTACTTTTCCGCTCGATTTTACTTTTCCGCACGATTTTACTTTTCCGCATGATTTTACTTTTCCGCACTATTTTTTTACTTTTCCGCACGATTTTTACTTTTACCGAAAAGTGTACCCATATTAAAGTTCGGGGGCCCCCTATTTGGGAGGCACAGTCCCGCGGGGGCCCCATTTTTGAGGGACACAGTCTCGCAGTGGCCCCTTTGTTGGGGGGCGGAGCCCTGGGGGGCCCTTTTGGGGGGGGCGAAGCCTCTTATTTGGGAGGGCGGAGCCCCTTATTTGGGGGCACAGCCCTGCAGGGCCCCCTATTTTAGGTGGCATAGCCCCGCGAAGGTAGGGAATCCTAACAATTTTTTTGGCCAATTTAGATACAGGCCAAGGATCATGATAAAAAAATCCGGTTCCATTATTTTTTTGTGTATAAAAAAATCGTGCGGAAAAGTAAAATCGTGCGGAAAAGTTACTTTTCCGCACTAGTGCTGAAAAGTTACTTTTCCGCACGATTTTTTTATTGCTAAAAATGAAGATATTTCGGATCAAATAAATGATTTATGTTATATATTATTTTATATTATGTGCTATTTTGTACCATCATTATAAAATCTTTGCGTATTGGAAACATTTTTTTTGATAAATAAGATGGACAAAAGCACTCGTAGGAAAAATATTGTTCCTAACTCTAGCGGAAAATGTCTTTTCCACCCCAGAATTACTTTCCCGGCCTAGGCCGGAAAAGTGATTCTCGTATTGTTACTCATTGATTCCTTAGCAACTATTGAAACATAATTAAAATATCAGAATATTGGGTTTTGCGACCTGTCAACTGGTCAAAAATGCTGACATTTCCTGTCAATCTCAGAAAAACCCATTTTTCTACTTGCGTGCGCAAAGTAATCACTTTGCACACTCATTTGCGTGCTCATTTTTGTTACGCATAATTAGGTACCATAGTTATACTTGATTTTTCAATGTTTTCATGGTTTCTGAATAAACTAATATTCAAAATGAAAGCTTTTAATTGAAATTAACGCTTAGTTAACATGATGTTTCCTATCAAAGGTGTCCAAATTGGACCAGTCTGTACTGCTAGGAATTTGTAAAATTTTTGATATTTGAGAGACTCTCATGAAAATATTCTTGCTGATTCTAGAGATTCCAGAAGATGTGAAAAGATTTTTGGGTATTTAATTTAAAAAACATTTTGAGGAATTCCAATAGATTTTAAATGATTTTTGAACATTTTGATTTGATTGATTTTTCTAATATTCTAAGAATTCAGTCTACTTTTTTCAGATACTCGTAGAAAAAATATTGTTCCTAACACTTGCGCAAAGTGTCTTTCCCGCACTCAAAGCTTATCCGAACTCCGCTTCGCGTCGTTCGTCTAACTGCTTTTTCGTGCGGGAAAGTATCACTTTGCGCACTTGTTAGGAAAATAACTATTTTGACCGGTGTGCGTAAATG